CAAGAAGTATTTAGAACTCAAATCAAATTAAGAATTCAAAAACCCGGCGAGAGTTTACAAGAATTCGAATCAGAAGTTAAAAGGCTAGTGAGTTTGGCGTTTCCTGCAGCTGGGGAAGACATGCAAGAATGGATGGCAGTATCTGCTTTCATTGATGGTATCAGAGATTCCAAGATCCAGGAAAACCTAAGAATGTCTAAGTTCAGGCAAAGTAGCGAAGCCCTTGTCCGAGCATTAGAACTGGAAGCAATATTTGGTGCCTCACGACCCAGAATACGAGCAGTGTCCATTAAAGACCCAAAAGATAAACAGTTGGCAAAAGAGGATGGTAGCTTCGAAACTGTAATGAGTAATTTCATGGAGAGAATGTAGAAACTGTTACTAGAAGATAGAAAAATGGGAAACGATTCCATACAAACACCAACCCCGAGGAAGCGAATAGAGTGCTACCGGTGCCATGAGCTAGGGCATATTCAACGAGATTGTAGAGTAACGATGTCCTCTCCATCAAGGGATCGTTTCCAACGCTTTTCGAGATCGAGAGACGCCAGCCCTAATATTAGACAGGGAAACGAGAACTAACCAGTATGGAGGGGCGAATGCTGGTTAGTAGTGACGAAGCCCCCAGGGTTGTTTACATAAAATCATTGGGCAGTCATTATAGAGGATTAACATTCAAAGGACAAATTATTGGAGAATTGAAAACCATCGCTTTTGATACGGGTGCTGAAGTTTCCATAATTAAAAGAACATTAGTCAAGCCTCGGGCAATCCAACTGCTGACTAGAAACCTGTCACTACGAACAGTCACGGGCGATTCGGCACCAATTCAAGGAGAAGCTATGGTTGACTGTTGGATCTACCACCTTCAGGCACAGAATATTAGTCGCCGATATAGAAGATGATTTTATTTTGGGAATGGATTTGATCGGCCAACATGGTTTCTCTTTTGATCCTTCCATGAACATCCTTAAATTTGGTAACGAAGCAATTGTCCTAACAAGACAAGAAGAATCCGAAGCCGTTAAGATCTTGGCCACAACCCCAGTGAGGATTCCTGGAAGTACTGAGAAGATCATTTGCGGAAGATTAGAAACCAATCCTGGGTGCTGCGTTGGACTAACACGTAATTTCAGTGGAGATAAACCAGAAAGATTTCTTGTTGGAAAGACTCTAGTAAGAGCAAATGGAGACATTATGATAAGAATTGCCAATGTTTCTTCCGAAACAGTAAGAATAAAAGAAGGTGACATTATTGGAACTCTCGAACCAGTAAAGCAAATATGGAACTTTGACCTACCAGATAAGCGACATTCTATGAAATCCAAATTGGATACAGACACCTTGATGCAGAATTTGGCGAAATCATGGAAACATCTCGATCCAGATAGACTTCAAGAAGCCATAGATTTCATCTTGAAAGAAGCGGTCGTATTTGTGATGTACAATCAAACCGGACGAACCAGCTTAATTCAACACAAAATTGATACTGGATTGGCACACCCAATTACACAACCATCACGACGTATGCCAGTAGCTAAGCAACAGGAAGTGGAAAACCAAATTGATAAAATGCTTCAAGAGGGAATCATTGAAGAGTCAGAGAGTCCATGGTCTGCGCCAGTAGTTTTGGTTACAAAGAATGATGGGAGTCTTAGATTTTGTGTGGACTACCGAAAGCTCAACGACGTCACCAAGGACAGCTTCCCTCTCCCGAGATTAGACGATACATTAACAACTCTATCGGGCTCCAAATGGTTTTCCACCTTAGATCTCACAAGTGGATACTGGCAAGTGGTAATACATAACGATGACAAAGAGAAAACTGCCTTCAGTACCGGAAGCGGGTTATACCATTTTAATGTTATGCCTTTCGGATTGTGTAATGCTCCAGCTACGTTTGAGCGACTGATGCATCTTGTTTTGCTAGGCCTCACATGGAGAACTTGCCTGGTATATTTGGATGATGTCATGATCATGGGAAATTCTTTCCAAGAACATCTCAATAATCTGAAAAAAAGTTTTTGACCGCTTCCGGAATGCCAACTTGAAACTCAATCCAAACAAGTGTTTTCTATTTCAAAAGAAAGTGGAATTCTTAGGTCACGTGGTATCTGAAGATAGCATACAAGTTATGAAAGGAAAAATAGATGCTGTCAGGGACTGGCCAAAACCACGCGACAAACATGAACTAAGGAGTTTTCTAGGATTATGTTCTTATTATCGAACATTTGTTGAACGATTCGCCAATATAGCTGCTCCACTTTATCGATTAGCAGAAGAAAAATCAACATTCAATTGGACCCAAGAATGCGATTCCGCATTTAGAAAATTGAAAGGGGCATTATGTACGAGCCCAGTGTTGTCCTATCCTGATCAGAAAGGCATGTTGATTTTGGACACAGATGCAAGTAACACCAGTGTTGGAGCTATCCTTTCACAAATCCAAAATTCACAAGAACATATCGTGGAGTACTACAGTAGAACCTTATCAAAGCCGGAACGAAATTATTGTGTCACTAGAAGAGAGTTGCTTGCCATAGTAAAAGCAGTCGACCATTTTCATAAGTATCTCTATGGACGCAAGTTTCTAATTCGAACAGATCACGCAGCTCTAAAATGGCTTTTAGAAATGAAAACTCCTGAAGAACAGCTTGCTAGATGGATTGAGAAATTGCAGCAATACGATTTCCAAATTAAACATCGATTTGGAAACCTGCATAAAAATGCTGACGCTCTGTCTAGACGGCCATGTAAAGAAGATTGCAAGCATTGTCAAAGAATCGATATACATGAGAAAAACACTAGTCCAGCTGTAAGAAGAACGGGCCTGATCGTCGATGATAAATGGACTATCAAACAAATGAGAGAAGATCAGGAGGCAGACCAGGACATCGGGAAAATTCTACATCTTGAAGAAAATGATGAATGTAGGCCAGAATGGAGGGAAGTGTCAAACAAGAGCTTGATTTACAAAGCGTTGTGGGCCCAAAGGAACTCTCTGGCCGTAGAAAATGTTTTGCTCATAAGAGTTTGGGAAAGTGCCGATGGGAAATCCACTAAGAGCCAACTGGTTATCCCAAAAGACCGAGTGGAAGATGTATTAAAAGAGATATACGACGGAACTTCAGGGGCATATTTCGGAGTTAACAAGATTTTGGACAAAATTCGGGAACGTTTTTACTGGGTTCACTACCATGAAGACGTTGAAAGTTGGTGCCGAAAATGCGACATCTGTGCTACCAGTAAAGGCCCTAAACTAAGATCTCGGGGGCCCATGAAACAGTACAACGTCGGTCTTCCATTTAAAAGAATAGCGATAGATGTAGCCGGACCGTTCCCAGAGTCAGAGCGTGGTAACAAATACATCTTAGTTATCATGGATTACTTCAGTAAATGGCCAGAAGTTTTCGCTATTCTCAATCAAGAAGCCATCACTGTTGCCCAGGTGCTAGTGGACGAAGTTTTCAGTCGTCATGGTGTGCCACTAGAGTTGCATTCAGATCAGGGACGAAACTTCGAATCTGCCATACTTAAAAAAAATTGTGAGATCATGGGCATTCGTAAGACAAGGACAACACCTTTACACCCTCAATCTGATGGCATGGTGGAACGATTCAATAAGACCATAGAGGAACATCTGACAAAAGTGGTCGCAAGGAAACAGCGAGATTGGGACAAGCACTTGCCTCTATTTTTAATGGCTTACAGAGCAGCTGTTCACGATTCAACAGGTGAAAGTCCGGCTAGAATCATTTTTGGAAGAGAACTCAGGTTACCTTGCGATCTGATGTTTGGAATACCTGAAGAAGAACGGAAATAAATTCGAGACTATGCCGACGAAGTAAGGGCACGTCTTCTGGGTATCCATGATTTTGCTCGGGAGCATATTCAACTAGCCAGTGACCGGATGAAGACCAGATACGACCTGAAAGCCAATTCAGCTGGATTTCAAGAAGGTGATTTAGTGTGGTTGTATAATCCAGCTAGAAAGAAAGGAGTATCGCCGAAATTGTCTTCAGCATGGGAAGGACCCTATAGAATAATCAATAGGATCAATGATTTGTTTTATCGAATTCAGCGCAACACCAGGAGTAAGATGAAAGTTGTACATCTATCATGGGCGTGAAGTTGATCGGGACGATCAACCTTAAGAGGGGGGCAGTGTTACGATAACGCTGACGCCAGAAGAACGGTGTCCGTCAGAGGAACGGTGTCCGCCAGGCTGTCAAGAATCGTCGAATATCCTAGAATCTAGCGAATTATTCTACTATAATCGAGAAAATAAGATTATCGTGGGTGTTCTAGATTTTACAGGAATAGATTTAGGGATATATAAAAGGCCGCTATTGCTTTGTAGTTTAAGTTCCAGTTTGACTGTGATACGATTTAAATAGTGATTATTGCGAGTTGTAAGTGTTTAATTGTTGAGTTAGTTATTAAAGTAATTAGTGCCAGAGTGTATTGTTAGGTGGAATAAATTATTGCTGTGTTAATTGGACTTTCATTTTTGGAATAAACGAAACGAACCCAAGATTTCTGTCAGGCAACCCAAAGCCGTGACATTACTATTATTTCTGACGCAAGTTTTTTCTCACAGATTCGTCAACTGTTTCTGGAAAATCTCTAGATAGCTCTTGAAGTCATACCAATAAATTAAAAATAGGAAATTTAAAATGTATTTTATCAGTGTTTTTATCAATACCTAATAATTATTAAGAAAGCGAAAAACAATAATTATGTTACCGAAAAAAAAATATATGTTTCCGTTTAATTAAACAAAAAAAATAAAACTATCTACATCTATGCCTAAACCTTAAATTACCTACTTTGGTTTACATCATAATACTATTGTATGGCCTTAAATGGATAATAAAGTTTTTAACGTTGGTAACAAAATAATTAATAAATACCTATGGAAGCATAGTTGAAATACATTGATACAGTCAAGATTACAAGTACACGAGTATAAATTACAAAATGAGATACTAAAAACTAGTTCACTTTTTCTGTTCATATTGAGGCGTGTAGTGATCACTATCGATCGATAGCCCGTGGTGATGCTCAATATGTTTATAGGTTTGATCCTCTTGTTCTACCGGAGCTGTTCTACGAACCACAGCAGTGAATCCTGTATGCTTGTCAGCTGAGTATTCTACTGTTCGGATAGATCCATCAGGTTCAACTACAGAATATTCTCCTTTGACAACGTCACCATCCCTGGTCTCTTGTTGACTTTTGATGTCACCGGTATGAAAGTCGTTTACTCCGTATTTGAAAGAATATTTAGGTGGCGACTGAAATATTGAATTGTTTAATAAATAAAATATCAATTGATTGTAATATTTATAGTGTTTTCCACTGAATTGCACTGAATAAGCTTCTGAAAAGTGCAAATTTATCGAGCGCTCCGTCTGTTCATGTGACTCTGAGCAAGACGGATGCGCAATAAATAATGCCATCAGGAAATGAGCGATTCTTGTGGTTTGCACATAGCGCTATTGATTTATAGCTGAACTACCTTCATATCTATTCACATTCGGAACTAAAAGCCTTTGGTTTAACCCGGGAGTACACGCGCGTCGGTCAAAAAGACCGATGATTGATAAAATCAGTAATTACGCCACTGGTACAAAGGTGAGAGTTTTGTCCATCCAGGAATGCCTGATGCAGGTTTTCCACTACCCATTGGCCCAAAGCTATTTTGGTTTTTGGTTGAAGAAGGGTTCGTTGTTTTCATAGTCGGTGCTTTTGACTAGACGCGTGAACCTGAGTATCTGAAATATTTGTGTTCAAAATTGGCATTTTCTGATATTGGGAGTACTTTTGGCTGTCGGTAATACGGTGACTGTACTGCATAATATAATTTCCTTTGTAATTCTAGGAATTATAGTGCTTGTACACTTTTTTCGCGGAGACTGTCCTAAACGTATCCTGAACGCTAAGGCATGACTTCCGCAGGTAATATTTGAAAGTTTCATGTCTCTCTTGATTACAAAACTTGCGTAGGTCATGCCTTAGGGTTCAGGATACGTTTGGGATCGTTTCCGCGAAAAAAGCTAATAATTCATATGAACTTTTGGGCAGTCGGTCGATTTGACCGAACGCGTGTAACGACGTAATTTTTTTGGCGCGTGTAATGCCGGGTTAATCAAAATATCGACGTAAAACGTTACGTTACTATTGATAAATTCTGTTCCACAAAACTCAATTGGTACTTTTGATACTTTGCCCTACTCTTTCAAGAGAGAGGGCGTTCTTCTTCATCATCACTACTCTTGCTTTTTGATTTACATGAAAAGTTAATGCACCGTTCAACAAATCGCAGCCCCGTAGAAAACACTATTAGAAACATTCGATAAATGGAAATTTTTTAAGTCCCATGTATTTACTCACGTAATAATCTACAGGAATTTGATGATGTTCCACATGATGTTGAGGTTGATGCTCAAGCAGATTGTAGTGTGCGTAACCTTTTGCTTCACCCTCCGAATGATCCAGCTGGACATCATGGTGGGCCTGGGTGGCCTCCTCACTTGGAATAAATTGCGAATAATCCAAATTGCCTTCTGTTTCAGAGGGAACGGACTGGTATACTATTTTTGGGTACGGATAACCACCAGTTACTGATATGAAAACTAGAAAGCTGATTGGTATCTGTAAGAAATATCTGTTTTAAAAATATTGTTAAGAAAATGTATCGACAATCCGAACAGGATTCTAGGAAATTTGTTGCTTACGTCCGGGAGCACATATTTTCTGGGAATTCTATTATATTTGATATACATGTTTCTCTAACTAGATAGATCCGGAGTACGATTTCAACTATAAATAGCGAGTAGTAGTAAGTATTGAATCATTGAGTCAGTTCAATTAAGAGTGTGTTGTGCTTAGTTCAAATACGATATTCGTTATGTAGGTACGTTTCGATAAGTGATGGTTGAATTTTATTGTATAAAGTCAACTTGTTTGATAAATTTTTTTACTGTTTGTGAAGTAAGTTTCAGTAAACCGTAATCCGTGACAATTTGGGGTCAGAGGAGTGAGACTATAAGCATGACGACGGATTATTTTGAGCTGAGTAGTGGGATCATTTAGCCTTAATGGTGTATCAATTTGAATTGAGTAGTCAGGCCAATCGGGAAACTTTTGTTGAACTGAGATAGTGTATTACCGGATTTGACATCGAAAAACAAGTTCACAAACGGATACCACTGATTTCGACATCGAAAAACAAATCCACAAAGTGATTTTCTTCGTGAGTATACTCACGAACCCTTTGGAATATTCCGGGAATAGCTTCTACATGGGTACAACTCGCCAGTATCCTTGATAACAGATCTTCCTCATTACGAACAGGTGTTTCGTAGACTAAACTTTTCAGTCAATGACCCGACGGTGCAATCTTTGCATTGAAGTAAATGGTCAACATTTTGAACAATTATTGTAGACCATAATTTATTTGTTAATAAAGCAAAACTAATAAGTAAACATTGATTTAATTATTGCGAAGAATAAAAGTACCAAACAGTTTTTTGCTCCACAGCCCAAATGGCTCATTTGCGGACATATACCTATTTATATAAACAAAAATACTTGTTTTGATGTCCATTACTACCCTTTAAAGTTTGTCGGTATCTTTTTTGACACCCTGTATAGGCAAAAACTATGTTTTCCTAGATGAAAACTCGACTTTAAACTAATCTGTCCACTGAACCAGATCCCATGTGGTTGTGATAATTTATTCAAAGTCAAGGATAATCATCTGAATACCCACGTTTCATGACAAACCAAGATGTCAGGTAACTGATACCATTGCTGGAAAGAATTATATTCGAAGCATGTGTGTGTGGAGTGAAGCAATGATTGCATGAGCTGGATTTTTAAGATACAATAACAAATTGTATAACAATATAATTATCAAGGGTTATTACTTGGGTTAAATGTTAACTGTAAGATAGTCAAATGCTTAGTTATAATTAGGATATAGGTAGGTTAAGATAGGAGTGATTACTCAATTATTTTATTATTAAATTAATAGAGGATAGTTTAATTCATTTCACACCCTTGAAAATTAGGTTAGAAATTAGGGAACTTTTATTTTATTTACTCTACTATGTTAGAAATTAGGAAATAAGAATAAAAAACATAGGTAATTAGGAAAGTGAAAGGTTTTCAAATAAAAGAGAAAACATTAAATGTTCAATTAATAATTTGACCACATGTAACTAGCGAGCTCTGTTGGAAAGCCATCAAACTGGATCACAGGGTGGAGCAGTTTGAATGGAGAAGGTTCGAAGGTTGAATAAACTTAAGAACCTGTAACGGGCCAAAATTGCAAAAACATTTCTTACCTACTTTCAATTTTATATTCAAGATTTCCTTAAGTTTTTCAACATATTCTCTCAATTTCAATTGTCGTCAGATTTCCTAATTTTCCATAGTCAAATTCTATTTGCTGTGATAGTTTTTTTCCTCATTTTAATCCATATTTTAATTCAATTCTAAATCAAAACAAAGCAATGTTTTGATAACTATTTTAAATTCGATCATCTGTTTCATCCAAAAATAATTAATTCATCTGTCAAAAGTATGTCGTGTTCCGTAATCGTGATGTACCGTTTTCAGGTGGATGTACCGAGCTACTCCGTTCGTACTAACTGTTCCGGTTGTGGAGCGCTATCGATCTCGGCGCAAATTCGAGCAAACCCAGAGTCGCGCATTGTTTCGTTGATCTTTGAGAAACCTTGAACGCACCCATTGATTTCGTTTCTTTGACTTTTGATTGTCAAAATTTCTGTCAACCAGCGGTGGATTAGTGATGTTTTCAGTATCGTCGATTCTTCCTTGAGCTCTCTAATTTTGAAAACGGAACACTTACTATATTTTGTATTCTTCGAGTTGTGATTGTTTTATGGGATAATTATTGGTTGTTGATATCATTATTCATCAGCCGTTGTTATTTTTCTCAGTTTATATTGTTGTGTGCAATTTTTGGTAAGTGGGAATTCTGTCGATTGGTTGTTGTTGTTTGTCGTTGTTCTCGATCATCTCTAAGTCTGAATTCCTTCCTTTGGGTTAGGTTAGTTTATTAATTGAATGTGGAGCACATTTTCTTTCACATCTGGACGTTGGAGAATTAGGGTCTTTATGAAGATTGTCTTCGCCTTTTTGGGATTTCGACCCTAAATTCTCATTTGAAGTTATAACATTTTAGTTGCCTTTATGCCTTACGTTTTCGTAGTGTTATAATTTTCGCCGATTTATTCGGATTTTTACAACTCCATGTGTGGTAAGCTGCTTACACGTTTTTTTCCTATAGTAGATTCTGACTTTTTCAATTTAATTTAGTTGAAAGCTGCCCTAAGGAGTAGAGAATTCTCACTCTCTCTAGGAAATCCAATCCTCGATCCAGATTTCCAGAGATTTTCGAGGCAAACTAACCCTAATTCCATCAGGTAAAAACATAACCTTATAACAATTTTTGCAAACTCAAGACACATTTTTCTCAATTGCTATCAAAGCCTTCTTATGATTTCATCTGATTTAATTAATTAATACCTTAATGTTCAATTTTTCTATTAAAATAATTTTCAAGAGCTATAGTTTTTTTTTATCAAGTAAATTTGCTATTAGAAACTAATCATTATAGTTTCAAGTTTTTTTATTGATTCAATTTATTCATGAAGTGCTTCGCTATTGGTTCAATTACAAATACAGTGTGTATAACAATTTTTTCTCTTAGGGTCCTTTCACGAGGGTTTCCTTTCACGAGGGTTTCCTTTCACGAGGGTTTTCTTTCACGAGGTTTTTCTTAGGAGGTTGTACTTTACCATCAAGTATACCCTCACGGTTATAACAATAGACGTTCAATTGTAACCGAAATTGAACCAAAAGGCTAACAGACACCAGCCTAAGTAATCGGACGGTTACTCAAGTCATCGATCAAGTTAACCACAACCAGTAGCCAGGACTAATCTGGTGAATTGAATGAACCACCATCATCTGGAACATTTTGGTATCGTACTAGTTATAGTTATCCTGATTGTTATTGTTTATTTACATTCTGTCCCTATTTGTACACCCGGTGATCACCTCGGTATTTCAGGGAATAATTCATTGCTGGCCCCAGTGTGGTAAATGAATTATTAAAATAGGTAACTTAACTAGACGTAACCTGTTGAATTAATGTCAACTTATTGGTAGTTCTGGTTACGAAAGTGTAAGGTAACCGTTCCGAGAACTAATTCTACATTATTAGTTTTTTTTCCCTCTCTTATTCTCTTTATTTTTTTTTTAAATTTACAAACCTTACTTTTCATATATATCTTTTTTTTTTATTACTTAGTTATTGAGTTTCAATGACATTTTTGCATTTAAATTTAACTGATCATGACATAGTATTGCATTTCTGTATTTGTTAGTTAACGCTTCTTGACAAGGTCATTTTATTAATTGCTAATTTACTTGATTATTATTATTTCTTTTTTTTTCCTCTTGAATTCAAATTATTGTTCATTGTGGACTGCGGCCATTTGATAAATAAACGACTGTAGCACTTGATTTGAATTGACTTTTATTTGGTTTTATGCACACAGCCTGGTTTTTGCTAATATTTTTATTTTTATTATTTGGATTGTAAGGACCTGAAGCCAGATACCATCCTGGAGAGTCCGACTCATCTGTTCAGAGTCGGTGGCGCCCAAAACTGAAACCCACCCCTACTCTCCGAATTATTTAGTTCTGAGCTAGGGCTTAATTTGCACGCACTTCGACCTTCAGTCCTACAATCTCAAGTTCCTTATTCATTTATTTTTATTTTTATTCTTCTTTTAATTTTCCTTATTTTTATTTTATTTTTTTAATTTTTTTTTATTTTCAACTTTAATTTTTTTAAAAAAATTTATTTTTCTAAATTTTTTTTTTCTTTTTCTCTTTTAATAAACTTTTCTTAATCAGCGAAAAAGCGTGCCTGGGAAAATAACAAGAAACCAGAGGGTACTTTCAGCGAATCGCTGAAAGCTAAGAGGGTTAGAAATATGCGACTTTGTCGATTCTCGCAAGCCCGGCACTAAGGGGTAGCCAATGGGCTTCTATAGTGGTACCCAGAGGGTGGTTTATTTCGCTTATTTAAGCAGATGTTGAGGCCAGTTAACTTCAGTTATCGCCAATTCGCCACTAGTTTTCACTACTAGTTATCGCCGGAAATTTAATGCGCAAAGTCTCAACGAGTTCTCGATCCGTTTCTCATCCTCTAGTTCATCTGCCGCCCGGGTTTTAGTAAAAGCTCTCCAAAGAGGTGATAGTTTATTTATTCACTGCTTCAGATTAAATTTACTTTCCAGCATAATTCACCATGAATGTTTAAGATGTGACAGAAATATTCACGCTACTAAAATATCAAGTCTTACATAACATCTCAATTTTGTCACAATTGGATCAAAAAGTGAATGAATTGCAGCTTCCTAATAAACCCCACCTGCATGGGGATCACGAGACTCGATTGTCGACTCGATTCTATCGAGTTTGGTCGCTACTCGATAAATTTCGTTCACGAGCTTCGATTAATAGACTCGACTCGACGAAAATCACTCGACTGCGTTGTAGGAGTCGAGTTCATTTTTTTTACGTTATGGTAATGGTTATTATTGATTTTTGGCTAGTGAATGTAATTTTTTCACGATTGAAAAGTGGAAAATTTTGTTTCAAAATATTTACATTATCATATTGCCGATTTTTCGAGAACGTTTCTTGCATATGCAAAGAATGAAGGTTTAGTATAAATGAA